CCCTACCCCTAACCCTAACCCTAACCCTAACCCTAACCCTAACCCTAACCCTAACCCTAACCCTAACCCTAACCCTAACCCTAACCCTGGCCTTCCACTATCACCATTATGCTGCAAACATCTCGCGCTGAATATCATCTCAAAAAGTGCTCGTTTCCCCCCTAAAAAGCACAGAAATGACAAGTCACTTTTATTGACATCGATTCAGTGCCGACTTCTGCAAGATGGGCTCTTTGATCGTTTCATTCACAACGGCCATGTGCAGGTAAAGGACATGTCGAAGCAGCAATAATTCAACACACTTTCCCACTCAACTAGACTTGTTTCCCTCCGGACGAATTCAAAAGCTAAAAGCATACACACACACACTCACATATCTTAATGACCATCCAAAGGCATCACACCTCACACAGCGTCACGTGTTTCCACCAACATCATGATGATTCCGAAAGTTATGTTCTTCCGTTCGCATCGAGCAGAACCTCCTAGCAACCATAAAGTGAGCATTGGATCCCTGCGACTCCGAACACCAGGAAGACACCGAAGAAAACTCACCAAAAAGGCCCAAGGCTGGGAGCAGGGACTTGCACAGTTTCCCTTCAAAACAACGGCACGCTGCTGCTGTTGCTGGCATCGTTAAAATATCCCCAGATGGGACTGCTACACCAATCAAGAGCACACTGTGTATCCCAAGTATGTCTTTCTCTTCCTTCCACAGAGTCACACACAAGGAAGCAAAACAATCTTGTGACCCCCTCACACCTCAGAGCCACTCCCCGGAGACGATCGTACGTAACCCTCCCTTTTTTCATTGGCATCCATCAAGAATACCTCCAACCAGTACAGCGCCAACGAAAGCCGCGATCACCTCAACAAAACCCACATTATCAGTCGTAACGAGGAGCAGCACAACAACTGCAACGACACACCAATATAGGAGAATGACGCCTTTCTTCCGTAGTGGAGCCACCCAAAACACTCTCAAATAGGATCAGCCCCGCACAAGAGAAAACCAGCATTTATTTACACCAAGGAAAGTGGAGGTGAAGAGTAAGAGAACGTGTGGTGTTCTCTTACGGAAAGCAGTAGCAGGTCGACACATAAACAAACACACATCATGCTTCGGTGGGCAATGCATCTGAATGACGATCCACTTGTGATTTCTGACGACAGGCAATAAAAGGTACATTCCCCCAGTGGAATTGGCATTTTAAACAGCTGCAAGAGGCATGGGAAAGACAGCCTACATAACCAAAAAGGAGAAGGAAACACAGAGCTACATACGTCTCCCACGAGCCCACACAAATGTCTGAAGTTATTGTGGCTCCCTGTCTCAAAGCTGTTACACTCCAGTTTGGTACAGTGAGGTGGCGGTGAACCCGAGCATGGATGTTGCCATATTGACGAATGTTTTTCGGGGTCTTCTGAATGGTTGAAAGTCATTGCAGCGGGAATACACTGCTCTCCTCGCATTCATCAACAAAACGAAAAGAGATAGTTGGCACACACCTCCCTCAAGAGATTGAATCACATTCCAAACGGAGGAGTCACAACAAAGCAGAGTGGCGCTAGTCGAACCTCAGGCGCCCCACAACACATAGCATGGGGGATCTGCGTTGCACAGTCCGGAGTGACAAAAGAGCCGCGGAACCCCTTCTCCTGTCTACTCTAATAGAAGACCACACCAAAAAAGAGCGACAAGCATAAATTGGCAGGTAGAACGGGAGGCAACCAAATAAGCGCATGGCTCAGTCTACACCATTCACTCCAATGAGAAAGCACGTCCCCGTTTCACACGTTGTATTGTTACTTCCCATGCGCAGCTTACGCCCTTTCGAGAAGCCTCGCACAAGTACGAGCGATAATTAGTTCTTTTCGTTTTTTAAACAAAACATGAGGGCTTTCGTTCGATCAATGAGACCCTCCTAAATCAACAAGCAAGAACCCGAAAAGGCAAAAAACACATTTTATTACCTCTCCAGCTTTTTTTACCCATGAAGCGCACAAGAGATTCGCGACCGAACATCGTCCCCCTCCAAAAAAAAAGTTACTTTTGTGTTTCCGGCACATACGAGTATTGGTGTCTTTCCTCACACAGGAGGAGCACAGCGCAGAGCGGAATCGTCAGCCGGGCACCGCAGCTCAGAGCGAACACCAGGGGTAGCACCACAAGATCATGAGCCAAACCGCATATATTCACATGATACATTTCGACCACAGATAGCAAAATAAATTTTCACCACATCAATGACACAAGAAAAACCCCTTCAACGCAAAAAGAGCAAGACTTTAGGAGCATGACACCCTTCTGTATATTCTAACTCGTGTGCTAAATGACATCAATTCATCTTACTTAACATTGCCTCTTCAAAAGGCAATATAGTCTAGGTACCCTCTGAAGGGCACCAACAATCTTCAGACCTTCACAATCAGACAGATCCACCTCTTCCAGGGCCTCGATGGATGCGAGAGAAGACACATCTGTAAGGTCACTGCACTCCCAGAGTCCAATCTTCACAAGACTGCAACTCGTACTGAGGCCCATCAGTTCTTCATCGGTGACGCCAGTAAAGCTCAGATCAAGCACCCGAAGGAGTGGAAGTTGACCGATACGCTGACAGCTTGGAACCCGGTAGCAGTTTTGAAGAGAGAGTTCCTCCAACTGTTGGAGGAAGCCCAGACAGCGCTCATCGTTATCCTGTATGATTCCGCTGCTCAATAATAGTCTTCTCACTTCTGCTAGTTGGCTGAGTGAGGTCATGTTCTGTATCTCACCATCAACTTCCAAGTGCAGCTCCTGTATTTGCTTCAAGTCAGCTAGAAGCTGCACGTCACAGACGCCACTGCAATTGGAAATGTTTATTCGGGTAAGCGCTTGAGATGTGTGGAGAGCCTTGATTTCGTCGACTCCAAGCTCCTTCCCAACAATATGGATCTCGCAAATACCGCACAGTTCATCCATGGGGAGGAATTTCATACTGTCAACGGCATAATTTTTCAATCCGGTGTTACCTGAGCGTCACCGTCTATTCAGTTCCTCCTGTAATTGTGCCTTTTTATTCTCCAGCGCTGACACCTCTGCCGCCAATCTGTTACGCTCGTCGGCCAAATCCACGTTATCAGACTGGATGACGGAGCCTCCGTCTGCCCGTTGGGATGCATCAGGCAGATGTCCCTGCGCAAAAGAGGGAGTATCGCTCGAGGAAGCACGGTTCTGCGTGCTTGCGTCTGTATTCTCCATGGCTCTCTCAATGAAAACATGCGCTGTGTAGTCGCTGTGTTCTTGGATCTATAAAGAGAGAAAGAGGCAAAAGAGGAAGGAAACAACTTACAGGCATCCCCCATCTACTATGCGAGCACACGCGGCAACAGAAGGGAGATGGAATCACACCGCTTTCCGCAGACTTACGGAATGGCAGATGTTGGGATCTCCCGGACACACGACACCACCTTGAGGAGGGGAAGTTGGCGGTGGATCAGATGGCAAAAAAAAGAGTGAGTTTTTCTTTATTCGGTACCCTTTGAAAGCACTTGCAACGACACAAGAGGGAAACATATTCACGTGGAATAATGGCAAATGGATAGGCGTCTTCTTGTATGATGGTCTCCTCAGAATCTGTCTATTTTTAAAAAAAGACATGACTCACTGTTCCAGAGGACGCGAAAGCCAACTAAAATTAAGTGCACCATTAGCGGGGCGTATATCAACGAAACGGTGAGTATGCGCATGGCCAGTACTGCCAAGCACCTTTCAAATTCACCACTTTGAAAAATATTCTTCGTCTTCCCCAGCAAATGCGGTAAACACATCATGGTGCCAGAGTTAAGTGAAACCCGTATTCTTGGAGAGAAACCAAGCACCAGCAAAGGTCCATCTCGTGTTGAACCTTTCGGAGCTGTGCCCATTACATCGCACAGTGCGAGGAGCATTGAAGCCACACTGGGGTGCCGTATTATCTTTGTCGGTCTTGAGGTGTGCGCATCCTCGGCAACGCTGGAGCCATAACTACTCACTCGAAGCACAAGCACTCTGTTAGACCGAGAAAGGTGACGCAAGGACCAAACAAAAACACACCAGAAACACCTCAAGCAAGAGAGGGAGGGAAACCCTCGCTTTACGCGCGGCCGCCATAAAACAGAAAGAACCCGAT